GAAGCTCTACTAGAGTTTCCTCTAGCTTTACCCTATTTAAGTATAGTTTACTATCTTTTAGGTCCTAATAGCTATGCTCTTACTTAAATCCTTCTAAAGATATTAGGATTAGTTAATGGTGCACCCTAAAAGGGTTCCCACCTCTATTCACTTTTATTACGCGTCTAGGCTTAATACCTAAACACTTGCATAGATATTAGACTCCTTAGTCTATATTTTAAGACAGGCCGCTTACAGCTATTACGCTAGCATCCTAGCAGATACGCGGACCTTAGTCTAGGCTAGTTGCATGTCGTCTCCCCTATAAGGCCTCCCTAAAGGGAGGTACGTAACAGAGACCTTTATCTAACTGCCTAAACTAATGCTAGCCTGCCTATAGAAGAGTGCACTAGATAAAAGCCTAGATAAGTAACTATAGGTAAGTCTAGCTGCAAGCGCTTCCCTTTTAACAATTTCACGTGCTATTTAACTCTCTTTCTAAAGTGCTTTTTATCTTTTAATTACTCTACTTATGCGCTATTAGTCTCTAGCTAGTATTTAGCTTTAGAAGAAATTTACCTCCTATTTAGAGCTACATTCCTAAACAACTTAACTTGTTAAAGGGGCTTTACACGGCGAAGGCCAGCGACTATATATAGGATTCTTACCCTCTGTAACGTCCTATTCTAAGGAACTTAGACCGCTGCTAACGCTAAAGCGCCCTCTGCAAATTACAACTTGGACCCTAAAAGAGCTAGATTTTAAATTTAAGCTGTTGCCGCTTCACTCGCCGTTACTAGGGCAATCCCTATTAGTTTCTTTTCCTCCGCTTATTAATATGCTTAAGTTTAGCGGGTATCCCTACCTAATCTAAGGTTAAGAGCTTAAAAAGTGTCTTAATAGATACTAATAACTATAACAAGAGGCGTAAAATGTGCTGCGCTCTAGGCTAATATGCTGGCTACCAATTGTTTTAAGGCAAGTCCTAAGTAGAACAAACACCTAACACTAAGTAGAGCTTAAGGGTACAAATAACGCTTAAACAGGCATGCCCTATAGAATACTAAGGGGCGCAATGTGCGTTTAAAGATTTAATAATTTACTAAATTCTATAATTTACACTACTTATCGCATTTTGCTGCGTTCTTTATTAATACTAGAACTAAGAGATCTATTATTAAAAGTTATAATTTATTATATTGTTACTAACGCTAACTGCAATTGCAAGTGGTTTTAGGGGATCTAATTAGTAGGCAAGCCTACTAAGGAAACAAATAGTACGCAAAAAATATAGGTAGAATTAAAGTAGACTGCCGCTACTAATTAAGGCGGCAGTGCTTTAAAAATAGGTAATAATCCTTCTACAGGTTTACCTATAGAAACCTTTTTACGACTTTTACTTCCTCTAAATAACTAAGTTTAACGAACTTTCTAGCTTAGGGTAGTTATTGCTAACCTCCCTAAGCTAGTCTAAAGGCCTTACTAAGCTATTTAATTAGTAGTAGCGACAGGTAGTGTGTACAAAGGGCAGGGACGTAATTAACGCATGCTAATAACACACGCTTACTAGGCATTCCTTATTAAAGAGCAATAATTGTAATGCTCTATCCCTAGCACGACAGAGTTTAACAAGATTACCTAGACCTTTTAGTTAAGGTAAAGAACTTGTTAGCTCTATTAGTGTAGCGCGCGTGCAGCCTAGAACATCTAAGGGCATTATAGACCTGTTATTGCCTTAAACTTCTATTAGCTTAAGCTAATAGTCCCTCTAAGAAGCCAGCAACTAGCTAAAGCTAGCCTGGCTATTTAGCAGGTTAAGGTCTTGTTTGTTATCACAATTAAGCAGACAAATTACTCTACTAACTAAGAATAGCTATGCACCACTACCTAAAAAATCAAGAAAGAGCTCTTAATCTGTTAATCCTTATTTTATCTAGACCTAGTGAGTTTCCCTATGTTAAGTTAAATTAAGCCGCAGGCTCCACGCCTAGTAGTGCCCTTCTATTAATTTCTTTAAGTTTTAGCCTTGCGACTATACTCCCCCTAGAACCTAAAAACTTTGATTTCTTGTAAGGTGCTAAGCGAGTTAGAAAAAGAACATCGCCTAATCCCTAGTTAGCATAGTTTACAGTTAAGACTACGACAGTATCTAATTGTCTTTAATCCCCTAACTTTTGTTTACTAATTAATAAAAACATCCTTAGCAAATGCTTTCGTAGTAGTTAGTCTTTAATAAATCTAAGAATTTCACCTCTAACAATTAAATACTAATGCCCCTAACTATCCCTATTAATTATTACAGCAGTCCTAGAAACTAATAAAATAGGACCACACGTCCTATTCTATTATTCTATGCTAACGTATTTAAGCAAAGGCCTGCTTTAAACACTCTAATTTTTTTAAAGTAAAAGTCCTAGTCCCTAACACGCCTAGTAAAGGGCATAAGGTTCTCTAGAAGGAAGGCCCGGCCGGACAAGTACACGCGGTGAGGCAGACCTGCTAGCTAGACCTAAGTTTTAACTATAAGCTTTTTAACTGCAACAACTTTAATATATGCTATTAGAGCTAGAATTACTACAGCTACTAGTACTAGACTTGCCCTCTAATTGTTCCTCGTTAAGAGGTTTAAATTATACTTATTCCAATTACAAGACCTAAAAGAGCCCTATATTAGTATTTATTGTCACTACCTCCCTATGTTAGGATTAGGTAATTTGCGCGCCTGCTGCCTTCCTTAGATGTGGTAGCCGTTTCTTAGGCTCCCTCTCTAGAATCAAACCCTAATTCCCCGTTACCTATTAAAACTATAGTAAGCTAATACCTTACTATTAAAAGTTAATAGGGCAGAAATTTAAATAAACTATCGCTAGCGCAAGGCCATGCGATCTGTAAAGTTATTATAAATTACTAAGAAGCCCTAAAGGGCGTTAGTTTTTTATCTAATAAATACACCCCTTCTAAAGTTAGGGTTTTTAGCATGTATTAGCTCTAGAATTACTATAGTTATCTAAGTAGTAAGGTACTATTAAATAAATAATAACTAATTTAATAAGCTATTCGTAGTTTTATAGTATAATTGCTTATACTTAGACATGCATAGCTTAATCTTTAAGATAAGCATATAACTACTAGCAGAATTAACTAGGTAACAATCCTAATGCCTAATACGCTAAAGCGCATAAGCACTACCCCTAAAAGGAGGCAGAAAGTACGTGATAAGAAATCGCAGAAGTGATTCTAGCTACTAGCATAATAGCACACAAGGCACTAGTTACAACTAGCAACTAATTTAATTGCCCCTACTAAGTTTCTTAAAGAATAGTCTGCAATAAAGCCTAATAGGCATTTCCGCGTATTTAAACTCGCCATATACATGCCTTAAGTAGAGAAAACCTACGCTTTGCCACGCTTACTAGGAGCGGATGCTAGGCAGGGCTATCCCCTAAGATCTATTAAATAGTTTGGTAGTGCTAGCTATCTACAGACCCTAAATTTTGCTTACTGCTAAAACTTTAACAGTAGGACTTTAGGTGCTAACTATAAAACTAGGCGCAACAGCAGGGTTGCTTTAGCATATAGGCCTAGGCCTGCCTAGTTAAGTAGAAGAGCAATCTCTAAGCCCCTGATTACCTACTAATTAGAGCGAATCCAAACTAGGCAGAAATCTAGGAAACAAGGCTAGCTATTATAAAACCAAAACTTTCAAATTTAGTCTAACTGCCGCTAAAATAGGCGCAGAGCGCTAACAATAGGGAGTTATAGAGAGTATAGACGCGGACACGAGCAAAAATTGCCCCCTTAGTGCCTAACAACGCCAGTTTAACTGCCTAATCCAAGAACTGCGCGCAGTAGATTTAACCTTAGTTAGTTAGTTAGGTATTTAGTATTTAAGAATCTATTTGCCCTCCTTATATATTATAGGAACAGGTTTTAGTTTAATTTTCGCGTTACGGGGTTAGTGCAGTAGAAAACAGCTTAGAGGTACACTTTTTTATATATAAAACTGTGTAGACATACGTAGCCCTATACAAACCATAAACCCGTATTCGCTAGATAAGAGTAACTTGGAATTTTATTAGTAGTAGGTAAATATATAGATAAGGATATCTACTCTAATATCTGTACTCTACTATAACTACTGTATCTATATTAACTATAGATCTATTAGCTCTATCTATATCTACTTAATAGATAAGGCAAGAAATAGAGATAGTATAAAAGAAGAATATAAAGGTATTATTTAATACTAGTAGGTTATAAAAGAAAGTATAGTAGGACTAGCTAGTAGAGAAAAGGTTTTAT